AAAATCTCAAATGCTTGAAAGACTCAGTTGGAAGGATGATCCAGCAGAGATTCGGTTCAGAACTGCTCAATTATTGCATTAGCAAGACCCCTCCATATGGCCAGCACCACGACTACAGTGGAGAGGCTGCTGCGGTTTGGCTGATAGTGCCCGCCAAGAGTGCTGCTAGACCGCTTGATTGGGCCTATTATGTGCGCCCTTGGACGCAGTTCGAGTTGTTTGGGCAACGCTGAGCACTCGTTGGCCGTCTCGTTAACCCGAGTCGATGCGAGTTATGCTTTTTTATCGCTGGTCCCACTGAGATCGCCGTCGTGGTCGTCGCCATTCGTCGCCACGATCTTCACGGAGTCCGTTCGGCTTGGCCACCGTCGCAGCACGATGCGACAACCGCACCACCGCGACCGACTAAGTTATGAGGAATTCTCCCAACGTCTCGCTCACCGCATTGCCCACGAATTCCGCGGTGGACGACGGAGGAGTATGCAGTTTTCCATCATCCCGGTTAGCTTCGCTGATTCGTTGATAAAGAACCATTTGGAAACTTCTTCTTATGGCTCAGCCTCTCCTCGCTTCAAGTGGAATTTATCCCTTCAATTACATTACTTTGATTCCGCGTACCGATTTCAAATTATTTCATCTCTCCACGAAAAGCACTTGTACGCTTTGTTCCCGGAACAGGGAGTTCTGCACTACAGACTCCACAGCACAGGTGACGCCAGTCTCCAAATAAATCTGATAACTTGTTTTGTTTGTTAACTGCTGTTTTTGGCCGCAGTTCGCCTTGCGAATGTTTCACAAGAATGCTGGGTTGTGAACAAAACTTTCGCCCCAGACGGGACTCGAACCCGCACCTCGTTTTCCGGACAAATGATAACCGTTTTCTAATGGTGATAGCTGACAGTTGCTGAATAATTGAAATCATTGACAGAATACAACTGGAACCGGCTATCATTTCGTTAGCAGAAAGCTTTTACATTACGTGGAAGCAGTCGTTACTTGTGCTGTGCAGTCCGCAGTCGACGAAGACCAGACCAAGGGTCTCGTCCGGTAAGGAGGGGCATGCACTGCGACAGTTCATATCGTCCAAAGTAATCCAACTATCCCCAAAGGCAGCTAGAAGCTCAGGGATGGGTATAAAAGTGGGAAGCGAGGTGGTTCACGCACCTCGGGTATTCCCTTCCTCTGCAAAAATTGGAATTTCTGCAAGCGGCAGCAACTGTCGCAGCGGCCTCTCCCCCTAACTAGATAAGACCCCACTAGCTTTTCATACAGAAACGATCAAATTCGATTTCTTTCGCGAAGATCCCCAATTTTTCTCCGAAGGAAAGTGAACTCTTAATATCATAAAATCATTTGGAATAATATAATCCTTCGATATAATATACATAAAACTGATGTAAAATTTTTATATAAAAATGAATGAAATTATAAAAAAGAAATCAGAATTTATTAAAAAGTTATTATAAATTATAAAATTACAAATTATGAAAATAAATACATTCCTACTAATCAACAATCAATATTGTAATATTTCACAATTTATTTGCAGTTGTAGGAATACACAGCGGAAAATTTTCTCATCATTGATAATATTGATAGAAATAGATCGTCTAGACTGTTGTGGTGATAGAGTGCTAATCGCAGGACCATCGGCTGTCGGTACAGGACGCGGCCGCCGTACTTGCGCACACGCAATCGCGCGCGACAAGCGGATCGCGCACGGACGGCTCCACGGACGACGAGTGTGTCGTCGTCGTAACGCATAGCGGTGAACGTGCACCCCCGTCATCAGGACGACGGCGGTCTTCTGGTCGTCAATCGGACGGTGTTTGTGAATCACGTCGATTGTCACGGAACGACGCTTGTCGTCCATCAGGACAGAAACCACGTCGTTCATCAAAGAACATGGTCCAGGTGTGTACGCGCGAATGAGCGACGAGCGATGGATCTGTCAAAAATGGGCGTGGCTTGTGCACAAATTTTTTAGTTCCTTTTGTTAGCAAATGCATGAAGATATTATTTGCGGTAACTGGGCAACATTTAGAGAATTATTTTTTTCACAGACTTCTTTTGGAGTGAAGAGAAGGCATTCCCGCGAGCGGCTGCGCTGCGGTGTCCTGACATGGTAAATTCAAAATTTTCGCGGACTGACCCATTCCGACTCCACCGTAAATGTATAACCCGAGATTTTAGATTTGCAATTGAAGCATTTTCTTGAGAGTGACGGCAAGTGATAGCGCTTGCGGTCCTATCAACCCATTATTATTCGCAAAGCTCCCCTCATAATGCGTTCCCTCTTAGCTGACTTTTGACAGTTAGATTTAGAATTTTAAGTTTTGTTATGATCTAATACTTTACTGCATGGCTCTTCGAGATGCCGCTGATGCTTGGGTCAGGATCCCGCCTCCTTGTATGCCATCATGGGTAGAAAGAGCACCCCGCTAGCCAATTTTTCGCCCCCCCCCCCCTTTCGCGCCCAAGATAAATGAGTTAGTGCTGCCGGCCCGCAGCGACTCCCCGTGATATTTCAGTCACCCCCGATCCTATTTTGAGGGATGAGCGGTCTACGTGGCGCAGAATTTTGTGCAATGCGCCGCTGAGATGCGCGCGCTATCCGTGCGGCGCAGCATAAGCCTGTAGTCACCGTCGCCGCCTGATTCACTAGTCTGCAAACCGATTCTGTATGGAAATGTTCCCACATGGGCGTGATGCCCAAAGAAAATGGCACAGTTCTGCTGCCAGTTGTATTTCATTTACGAGCCACAACTTGCTGTCCGCCTCCGCCCATTTTGGACGAGATCCACGCCGTGACCGAATGTCTTAAAATGAAGTGTGCGCAAGTGAACCCCGCTCGTAACGTGATGTGCACTTTGCAGCCTGCATGCAGTGCTTGAGATTATGTTTTGTTCGAGTGTTATATTACTAACCTATTTTTTATACACCGAGCCCAGTGGCCCATTTAAGGGACCTAATTTCTAACGTGGACTTTAAGGTGCGTGAGTTGAGTGCTTTGATGATTGTGCTTTCATTGTCCGGTTCAAAAATAGACGTCATTATCTTATGGTGCCCATGTATAGCAGACGGCGACGGCGAACCCCCTGAAAGCCGTTCCGGATGCTTTTCGAGGATATCCCGGGCGTCGTGACTGGAAGTCATTACCACCACGCAACAAAGTGCTTCCTTTGAGACGTCACGGAGCACTTACTGACGTCTCTCGGCGATGACGACACTTAGAAAAGCAATAAAAAATAAAAAATGTGAAGCTGGAAAATTTGAGAATGAAGCCCTTGACTTATTCTTCGGACTTATTTATCCGTCAATCAGTAGGATACCTCTTCAAGCCTTTCAGATGCAGGACTTATTAGGCTGTACGTTCGACCTTCTTCGCCTTTCGTCTTTAGCCTAAACTCTTGCCGCTAATAGACAGCAGGACGACCACCCTCGGTGCTTGCTCGTTCCTGAGCTAAGCGGCAGAGTTTAAGGCTGCTGACGAAATTCGCACGCGAGAGCGAAACATAAACCTAATAAAGTGCTGCAGTCTCAATTGAATCCGCTAAGCCCTTGAAGAAGATCCTACTGGAATCTTGTCAGGGCAAGCTTGCAAGATGGTGAAATAATATGGACTATCCGTCAACCGTTTATATGGAAGTGTCTCGTCAAACCCAATATGACCCAGCTCCAACAGTTCAAGTTGTAATCGCCACTAAATCCAGCCCCTCATATAACAATTCGGTTGAATAAAGTGACCGTGACCGTTTGTAGGCGAAAGGACAAAATCTGGAGCACAAAGAACGTCTTCTGCTCACGGATTTTCCCTTCTCAAGCACGATTCTCTTCAGCTTTTCTTTTCCCATCCCCGTTCCCCTATTTTTGCCGTTGAAATTATCATCGAACGTCCGTTTCCTACCATTCTCAGAAGTCCGTTCGGGAACGACCCTGAATACCATTAAGGCTTTCTTTCACTAACAGCATGCCCACTAATTGCATGAAGTGTGCGTTCGTCGGCTTTGGCATGATATTCTGTGGCTTTTTGTGTGTTTTCAGAATGTTTGCAAAATAAGCTCTCCGAAATTATCACGATTAACCCTATCTACAGGAAGCCGGAAATCATGCATCACATCACGATCAACGTTCGACGATCAGTCGAAGCCATTCCGCAGGCGGTTCCGAGCGTCAAGGAGCCAGCAAAGTTAACAGAAATATTAATAGGTAGGTGTTTTAGATCCATTAATGCGAGATAATAATTACCATAAAGCTGAGTTGGGATGAAATGGTGCCCCGGTAGCGTAACTGGTAGCGCACTTGCCCGGAAAGCGAGAGGTGCGGGTTCTAGTCCCGCCTGGGGCGAAAGTTTTGTTCACAACCCAGCATTCTTGTGAAACGTATAGCATTTTCATTATACGAAGTTATACGAGATGTGATGAGCAATTATCAGATCAATGTCCCATTTTGCACAGTTCCATTGAGTCCGGATTGCTGTGTGTCCCACTACTGGTTCCGGGTGGTCTCGAGTACCGGACTAAGTTACGGTAAGTGGCCCACCTTGGTATTGCGTGATGACCTGTTTTGTTCTCGAATTTCAGTAGGATAGCGGAGGCGTTTGGTCGGGTAGTCATAAATTGCTTCGATCCTTTCAGGCTCTGAAGAAGGCGACCCCGCCGAAACGTAAGCCAATAAAGTCTGCTTAACAACCTCGTGGAGAGCTTACAGAAGATATCAGCCATCAATATACCATGCCGAGGTTCTTGCAAAGCCGTACATTTCGATTTCCATTTCCATCGGTCTTTGCCGTTCCGGCTTCGTAAATGATTTACTCAGTTGGATGTACAGGGTGGGCAAATTATGAGGCCGCTTTTTTTGCGAAGTTATACGCCACTTTTTCCGAGTCGCTCCATTTCCACCTCCTTTTCTGTGCACTATGTGAGAGGGTACAGTGTCTTCTTCCTAACAGGAATGTGCCTATTTTTTGTATCTGCTTCATCTTCGAGGACTGCGCTGGAATCTCTTCGCAGAAACATTCTTGTAATGGTTTGGAAATGAATTAGAGAAAATTGCATTAAATGCGGGAAATGCGAACATGCACTGCAGCGATAGTTCCTCCATTATTCATAGTAATTCTATGGAGTCCGCCTTAAGGTCCCAGGGTTTTGACAAGTCCCAACGTGATAATATTCTTAGAATGGTGGTTTGGTTTCGTAATAAATTGACTTGAATCGAGCTGAACAATTTTATTCATACTTTCACTGAGCTTGCTGGCGCACTTTTCTTTCAGTAAATTCCTTCGTTGGGATTAAGTTCAGCTACAACGTGTATCATTTTAGGAGTTCTAGAACTTTTCTGGTGAGTTAAATTTCGGTTGGAGGAGCATCAATACGGGACTTTATCACCAAAAGGATAAAAAGGATAAAGCATTTGCCGTTGATCAATCCCTTTTTGGGATGCGGCACGCATTCTACTTCCATTTGTACATTCGCAGTGGCGTTTGAATGCGATGTGGCCTATACAATGACTTGCGGGGGCCAGCCGATGTTCAAGTCAGTGTTTTTATCCTCCCAGACAAGTCTGGTACCAATTAACCGACCCCGGAGGGATGGAAGGCTTGGTTGGCCCGGGCGACTCACGACCCAGGATTTGATCCCCGGACCGCTCGCGTGGTGAGCGCGCCACTTGTCACTACACCACTTCCGCCCTTGAGAATACATCTGCAAAATTTTCACATACTATTGGACGATCCGGCAGGTTCGCACTAGGAATGCTTTGTAATAAACTAAAAAGCTTTTCCAACTTGGCAATATTTCTACTACTGGAAAGGCTTGCAGGACGCTGCCCAGTGTCAGAAGATCTGGGTCCGTGCTAGATGAATTGTTTTACAGAAAGGCTGTGAGTAACAGTCTACCATGAGAGTGTAAATTGCACATAATTATCAGGAATTTGTCGGAATTGCTTGTTGCGCCTCAAGTCAGATTTTGTAACAGCTCTACAAATGGAGGATATTTGTGATATTCAAAGTTTTGGTAACTGGCTGTGCCCTTTATCTTTTAAGAGGTAGTCACGTTTATCGTTTAGTATTGTTCAAAGTTGGAAAAAGAAGGTATGAGTGATTGTCGTGATAAGGGGTGGAGCGAGAAGGAAATGATGCATTTTTGCACAATTTATGATGAAAACTTAGTCATTGTATTAGGGTGGGTTCATAATAGGGTCGCTTTTTTTTACCAAAATTTTCATCTGAATCCCCACGCTTTTACATCGAGTTCATATACTTTGAAAGAGAATTGTCTGCTCTACAAGATGCTATGTCCTTTCCACCACTGTTCCAGGGTTTTCAAATTTTAGGCCTGCGAAATGGGAGGTCCCGCCGACAAAAATTGACCAAACCGACAACTAGCTCTAACTTTATTTTTCCTGCGGAGAAATCAATCAATGATGTACCCTTACTTACTCATGACCTCCTGAGCATATCCACCCCTGGTGTCAAAAAAATTGGCCGATGCTTTCGAATTGGCCGACCGATAAGGTCATGGCAATTTTCAAATTGAAATTCTTCCTCTGAAACGCTATTGTTTTATATCAACTGGTATATCTTTTGTGAGCACTTCTTCTGCTCTATTCGCTCATTTGTTTTGTTTTGATGTTTGTTAGGAATTAGCTCGAATTTTAGGTGTTTAGGAGTAAGGTGCTTTATCCACGAAAGTGACCGCATTTCTTTGAAAAAAATTATCCTTGAGAAGATGAGAAAATCAACCAGGCGTACATTCCTAACTTAGTCATGACTTGTTCTTTAAATTCTTTCAATGTCTCGGCTATAAAAAAATTTTCGACCTCGATCTCAGGTAATGGTGCTTGACCGTCGAGTTCTGGTTGAAAAACCAGGTCTGGAAATGGAATGACGCGACTTGTTGGGAAACCTAATAGTGTAATGTTTAGAAGAGGTCATGAGTAAGTAGAGGGTACATCATTGATTGATTTCTCCGAAGGGAAAATAAAGTTAGAGCTAGTTGTCGGTTTGGTCAATTTTTGTCGGCGGGACCTCCCATTTCGCAGGCCTAAAATTTGAAAACCATGGAACAGAGATGGAAGAACTTTATAAGCATACATTCTCTTGACGAATGGTGTATATGCTCGCGGAAAAGATGGGGATTTAGCTATGAAAATTTCTGGTTGGAAAAAGGCTATTTAATGAGAAACTAATAAACAAGTATAGAGGGGGTCAGTGTAGTAGGATGGTTTGAAAATGAAATAATGAAGTGAGGACGGCTGGAAAACCTAGCGATTGGGACACTTCCTTGCTCGTTTGATTTCCGTCATTATGCGACTTCGGTCGCTGTGCCTCATTCAACCGCTGAGCTCTCTCTGTATTCTAAATATCGAATACTAGAACCTGCGACTAGTCGGTGAGCGTACACGGGCTAATAGCAGCCCAGGGAGGACCATGCTTAGATCGCTGAGGGCAGATCTTACCAGCGGACGTGATGGTCCACCTCTTTAGACCGCGTATAGTCGGCGAGGAGCCGAAGCGACTGGGGCGAAATTGTGCGCGATCGCTCTCGCGTTGGTCACGTCGACCGACTAATACGTCGGTCTGGACGGGGGTCCGTATTGTCTCCGAAAGAGATTTCCCTTCGACCGTCAGTTCACATCGTGGAATCATCCTTCTAAAAAGAACTGGCAATATGGCTATCTGTCTGTTTCAGAAAGGGGGAATGAGCAATCTGTCGTAATACGTTTCTTTTGCCCAGCCCTAGCGCCTTTGAGTCGGTCTACTCTAACAGTGCTTTATGCATTTCACTTTAATGCAACCCGAAAGGTTTTGGCAATAGCTCTGTCAGCTGAGTTGAAAATGCCAGGAAAACGAGGCCTTCCTTGTCTGCCATCCAATAACTTCGTAGGCAAACATCCTTCGGACGCATGGACAGATAATTTGAACAAATCAATCAAGAAGTATAATATTTTGCAGATTCTCAAACTTTGTCAAGTCCGGCATGGAGGCGTACGTGCTCGGCGAATCACGAATGAACGGACAACCTGGCGAGAAGCACGAAGTTGTTGTGAGTCTTGCTCGCATAATTTCTACCACCATGCAACATCGCGTTCGCCGAAATACATGAAAAATGGGCGTGCGGTCGCAGAGTGCTCAGTCCGGTTGTGCTTCTATTATCAATTATCGGAAAATCAGTTTTTTTTCAGATCAGTGGTCCTTTGGTGCAATGGCGCCCCATACAGCAGTACTATACGTGTACAGTGGATAAACCAAAAAAGGAGACAAAACTAAAGGGACTGAAGAGTTTTATCGCCTATTCACTTACCTCAACACTTAGTCGGATACAGGTAAACTTTTAGAGATGATTTTATACAGCAGTTGCGTCCGTTAGGTCCACTCGCAGCGAAAGACCATTAGGGTAATGCTTTAACGACAATCTGTTGAAATTGGTGGAAATGCTTCTTTTGAAGGGGCCTAGAGGAAAATTTACAGTAAACTGACAAATCCAACGGCTGACTAAATCAATAGTTTTTCCCGGAAATTTAGTTTGACCTATTAATAGCCCTCTCCATTTGAAAGAGAGTATAACTTATCGATTATCATTCGACAGAGTTACGCGATTCCTAGATGCGCCACGCATTCCGCTTTTATTCAGAGCCGCAGTGGTGCTTGGGAATCCGACTTGGCCTATTAAGTAAACTGTGAAATATTCGACGAATGTAGCCACTTTTATTGTCCCAGACGAATTTGGTACCATTTGTACTACTATCGACCTCAGAGAATTGAAAGGCTTGGTAACCGGTAAAGTCAGTCCAAATCGCAATGTGCTTTAACACCCTCCGATGCGCATGGAAGGTGGTATTACTGACATTTTACGAACTTTTTTTCTTGAGATGTCTCTGGCAATCTTTCGAAAGCCTCATCTTCTCCCTTCTGATTGACTCCTCTACTTTTTTAGTATGTAATCAGATTGGTGGGCTGTAGTTGGTGTAGTGGCAAGTGGCACGCTTACCAGCGCACGGTCCGGGGATCGAATCCAGACGGATTCTTACGGATACTAGTTATAAATATGAAGACCAAAGCTGCAGTAGGACTTCCAAGCGAACTATGAGCGGACGGTGTTGAAAAGGAACACTGATCGCTTACAACCAAGTAGGCGCCATAATTTGCTTGAGAAGTTCACATAGGCAATTTAGGTCTCCGTATTTGCTACCCAAGCCCTTCTCCTGCCCCTACCGAGTACCGAATGTATCCATCCATAAAGTTCCACCAGGCGAATTTGAACGAAGTCAGCCCGTGGTAAGGAAGGAGCGTTCTAAACTAAAAATATGCTTCCAAGGTCTCGTCGTCGTTACAGGAGCAATTTCTGATGTCTGCAATGACACTCCGCAGAACAAAGACATAAAAAAAGTCCAGAGAAGCAGACAACAAATTTTTCTTCTTCATTGCTGTGTCAAACAAACGAAAATGCATATTGACAAAATAATAATCTATCATCGCACAAAAATAGGACACAAACCATGCAAAATAGAGGGAAAAAAGGCGCAATGGTAGTGCTGACACTAAAGACTAAAAATTAGAGCGCCAAGAAGGAGGGGGCAAAAAGGAATGCCAAAGAAATACATCCCTCTATAAAAAATGCTTTCCCTCCCCAAGGCATAGTTTCGAGCACAAAAGCACTGAATGTCCTAAAAACAACACAACAACACAGTCAACCCATAAAAGAAGCACGGGGTCTGATTTTGATGAGTTTGTGGAGGGCGGTCGTACTTGTTGTTTCGTGGTGCCAAAGCACAAAGTTACATGTGATCAAGTGCACAGCCCGGCCCACCTCGGGGGGAAATTTGCCGTTTCACCCGGGAAATGTAGGGGAAATTTTTGCGGTTTTTATGGTAAGTATATACCCCCCCCCCCCTCCCCGCTCGACGGTAATTTTTTGGGGTAAAAATTGTTTTGAAAGAGGGGGTCGTATGAAACATTTCATGAGGGAGGGGGGTCGTAAAAACTTTTTGAAAAGTAGCAACGATAGGACCGACCCTGCCTCCACCCCTCCTATCCACCCAACCTTGCTGCACTATTGGATTCCTCGGATTAGGAGCAGTTTTGGTTTTGCAATAATTTTTCATTGTACATCTTCTACACCACAATGCGCTAAGCACTTCTCGAAGACCCCTAGTTTTGTCTAGAAGGTCAGTAGCGAGAATGCATCCGCTGAACACAGCCGTTCTCATTTCAGGTCGATATGAAGACGATCTCATTGATCATCGAAAACACATCTTGCAGTTGTGGGTGAATAAAATCTGCCGTCATCCGGTGCTAAGTCAGAGCGAGGTTTCTAATTTTTCTTATACTATTTAAATGGTTGAGGTTCCGTGAGAGAAGTGGAGCGAGAACACTATGAATGTTCCCAGAAATGTTAGCCTATCGAAAGTACTGAACAGTCAGTCGCGCTCACTACAGAAGGACAGAGTATGAGGCGCGATATCTTAAACTTGCCGTACTTTTTGCAAGAGTTTTGTGAAAATAGGAATAATCTACGGTGTGGCTCACTAACATCAGTGAGAATCGGAAAATGGGAACGGAAGGCCGGAGAAGGTGAGACTCCTTCCGGAATAATTAAAAAAAAAGTGTGGGTTTTATCCAAATCATTATATCTAATCAGAGAGAAGACTTGCGTGAGCTTTTCGCCAACAACGAACACGCCATTATCCATGTCCACATAAGTTTACCACTTGTTTTTGAACAGGACTTATCGTTTATAAGATTTCGTATCCTCCTATAGTCCCCGCAAAGAACAGCATTACTGAAGTGTCACACACCATCCACACAATGTTGTACATCAAATAAGAGCGCTCTTGTTAACCATTATGACTGGTCATCAATCTGATAAAAATATTTTATAATAATTAAACCAAAAAAAGCCAATTTTTAATAGCTTAATCGATTCAAAGACAAGAAAATAAACGTTGAACAAATTCTTCAAAAACTGCGTCAAAACAGAAAATCTCGCTTGATCGGTAAAAAAGTTTAAGTTATAGATCAGAGCTCTCCCACCAAATGAAAAAAACGTGAAAGAATCCTTCGCAATAAGAGTCAAACAACCTCAATTAAAAAGAGGCGAAGACGTTCCGCGCGCAGACCATACAAACAACAATCGACAAGGCCGCGAAAGGAAAGACAGACCAAAAACGTATACTAAAGTGCCTCAAAAGGTATCGAAAGGACACAACACCTTGAGACAAGTAATCAGAGCCCACATCAATGTTCTGCGAGACTAAGGCTCACATAAAAGAAAAAACGACATCGACTTCAAATTTTCGAAAACTCACCTCAGCAGCATTTCATGGTAGCACTGAAATCATCCATAACACTTGAAAAAAATGTTTACGGTTGTTACAAATAACTCACCTGAATAAAATGATGAAGAGCGGAGTAGGATGAGACGGATAACTAGTAGAATACCACTGCATCAATAAATTTCCCTATCGGTGATAACTAACATGGCAAGTCGAGGATTTTCGCCTGATCCTATTTACGTTCCTCACACAAGCGCGAATATACACTACTCTCGCTACTCTACAATGCGAGCACGTCTCGAAAAGTCTCCGCTGCGTCCATATCACTATCGGCTGACTCTGCACACAAAAAGAGCGCATGATGCGAGGAATTCCTCGACCGTATTCACCTCTGCGTCAACTGCGACTTTCCGGTCAAATATGAACCGACTCCTTCTCGTTTACTGAAGCGGCAGGCAAACATAAAGTCCTGGGTGGGGAAAAAAAACCAACTTGGTCATACTGGGGGATGTAATTCCGTTCAAGACATGTTTCCACGACGAGTGGGCTCACGCTAAGGCTTTATTCACTCTATAAAAAAGGCAGCTTGTCAAAACCAACAAACATAAAACCAACAAAATCAGAGAGCGGCAATCGACAAATCCGAGAAAATGCGTACAATCTACCGAAGATGCAAATAGAGTTATGCAAAGAAGCGATTAAGCTTTTACAAGAGCTCTTCGTTGGACGACGTTCACTACAGTTCAGGCGCGAGCACCTAGATTGGTGGGAGTAGTCCTGAGCACTTCGCCCTAATTGGAAAGATGTCTTTCAGCTGTGAAAGCCAACGCAAAAGATGGCACTGGCGTGTCCTTGCCCAATCGCAAAAAAAAGATCACCCAGGTGAACAATAAGCTGTGCTCAGGCCCAAATAATATAAAGGGTATTAAAAAAATTGATCACGGAAGGCTACAGTAGGATGGCAAAGGACCGTTATTGTTCGCTTGAAATAGGTCAACGTTTCTCGTCGAGGTACCACTTCGAGTAGTATGCATGGCCTAAACACAAGGGCCAGGTTAGAGACAAGGTGTACGATGAAATGAATCGCTACGCAGGAAACGAAATACGCTTAAAAAGACGTGCAGCTGCGACGAAAAACAACAAGAAAACCATACTTGCAGAACGGACCGCTTTTCCGCATCAGGTGGTCGAGAAATGTTGAGCTCACTAATGCCGCTCCCCTCGTTTAGAAGTGGAGCCGATTGGAGAACAGTCGTCAATCTGTGGCGGTGAAGACCTTCAATAGAGTACTTAAGACCTTAGCCGCCACGATTACGGTCGATGCTCCAAAGCCAAGTCTGTGCTGGGTGCCAAACCCATCAGTAGGACTGAAAAAGCGAATCTTCAGCATATGCAATTATGCAGCCACCGTGTCCTGAACAATGCAATTGGGTCAAAAAAAGGAAATATTTTTTTCAACCAATTTAATTTGAAAGCAGCCCTGTATTTAGAACCTTTTCAATAAAGATGAGTTTAAATTTTGAAATTTTTCTCGAAATAAATCAAAGAAAAGATCAATATTCAGGAGTAATCGTATGGTGGACGCGTTAAAACAAACGGCACATCACTATCATCAAATCGGTGATGACTTTGAGATGCATTCACGAAACGACATGGAGCCGGTCGCGGAGAGCTTGTACTCTTTCAAAGGCACCATCCAGACTGCTCCTGAACAAAAGGAACAATCAGAGATCCTATGCACTATGCTTCCCAATCCTCGAAACAAAATTGTTTATACTTTCCAAATTGATTCGCCTAATTTCAGAACTTTTTTTCCACAATATTATGACACTTTGGTTCCCCCAAAATTTTTTTTGCTTTTTTCATATTTTAGGCGTATTCGGTGAAAGTAAAATTAGGCATACAATACATTAATGTATTAGTATTGATAAGATTTGCTTTGCGATTATATGTCGATCTCAACACAGAAGAAGGAGGTAAAGGAGGGGGTTATGATATTTATTCATTTCAGCAAGCGATCCAGAAATATAGGGAGAACGAGTGTAAACTGTCACATGCCGACGCTGAACGAATAAAGCGACGCGTTGATTCGACGAGTTATGCGGTTCTAGCCGAAATGAATCCATCTGAATACGGAAAAGGTAGGAATTTAGATTTCTTTCTGATGAAGATGAGTTAAAAGCATCTTAACGCCGAAATTGCCCTTCTCGAGCTGCAGCCTAGTTTCGGGTTTGCGAAAGTAATCGAGGTAGATTGGCGAGGGAAAGCAACTAGTAACCCGTTAGTGGCCATTCACAGATTGAGGCGGTTTTCTTCCAGAAATGGTGAGATGTAGTTGGGGGGGCTTCATAGATCTTATTAAGTGACATATCCACCTCGAACATGGAGCCGCGGAAGGCAGTTGTAATTGATAATATTTAGGGCATAGGCTCTGAGTGTGCGATTAGAGGGGGATTCCAATCCGGATTGCGTATAAAATCGCAGACCTGAGAGGAGCCCTTCCTCGAGAGCTTGCATGGCGATCGTAGAAAGGTTTGGTGAAAACGACGCGTCAGTATGTGCAGCCATTTCAGAACGTCGTGAATAAATACGCAAGGGTGCAAAGTAGACTGGCAACGTAATGCCGCTGTGTGGGAATAAATTGAGCTTGATAATGAATTCGGAAGGAAATCCACTCCACTCCCAAAAGTGGGGCAGGGAAATAGTACCGGAAAAAATGGTCACACAGAATTCGATGGTTTGATTTTGGATTTATCTCATCACTTTTCTTAGATTGAGGACGTACGGGTGACGATGCACACGTATCTGAAGCGACAAGCAGACTTCTACCAGAAAATGGCTAACACTCTCAACGAAATGGCGAAGATGTACGAGTTCTGAATGCGTGACGGCTCATTGGCTTTTGTGATATCATCTCAGTTTTTGCGCTTCTTGTCACTGTTACATGCAAGATTTGTTCTCCATGCACAACCTCAGTGGGACCTACCACAACTGGGTTCAATGAGGGTTCTCCAGTAAGCATTTTTATTTCTTTTCGCCGGGTTGCGTACAAAGAAAGCGACTCTTCCCCTTTCATACATCCCTTTCAAAGTGCACATATTTCATTTCCAAACACTATGTATGTGGCTCTGCAACTCCCATACTTTCTTGTCACGAAATGGGATATATGAAGTACAGATGAGGTCAGATCTCGACTGTGGTGGCGCTCCAGCAGTGGCGTCGCTAGTGGCCACCACACGCGCAGTATGTGCACTGGAGGCCACATTGAAGGTGGGCCACCAGGTCGACTTGATTTGCACATATAAGATAGGGATCCTACTCTGCTTCACACGAAAATTGCGTGCACTGGACTCTGATACGGCGAACAACTAAATTTTTTGTCATAAGAGAGGCGGTACGTGCTCCTAATCGGTACTGTAATCCGCACGCAACCGTACCTTCATCACTTATTGGAATGTGGATTGTATGACTAACGTTCTGTTCAGCTACATTAATGAAATAACTTTCAAGAGATTGTACATTGTCACGTTGCTTACGGTCTTTCTTCTCAAACCTGTATGTAGGCAGTTCTCTTCTTTTTTATTTGATTGTCGTAACTCTTCACGTCGTTGAACTGTGGTCCTTGAATTAAAGAACTATTAGCTTTCAGTCTTGTATTCCGTGAAAAACAGAACTGCTCTATTCTGCGAGTCCATTTTTCCACCTCCTTGTCTTCCTATCGCTTTTTTAAAGTTTATGTTTGTTCAGTTTTATCGAGCACCGATTCACACTGGATAATAGTAATAGGATGCCTGCCAGTTGTGAGGCTGCTTTCACACTTCGAAACTCCTCATTTCTGCGTGTACCTTGTAGTGGGCATTGACTTTATGCAGGCATAATCGATGACCACTTCACCTTTTTATAAATCAGCCTGTAAGCGAAGCGAACAATCGCATTGATTGAATCGCAGCTACATATAACAAATACCTATTTTTTTACTTCTGTCGACGAACTGAGGTTTCGTTGCAGAACGCTTATCCGCCTATTCCTCCTTAGATTTATGTCGCCTTTTATAGCATTCCTTTAGCTTATCGCCACCTGTACTTGATTCCTTCTCATTGCTAACGTTGTCTTCCTCTGCTGTCGATCAAACGTCGATAGTATAGGCAGATTCTTTGTGAAATATTTCTATTGCGTTGACCTGTGGAGTGGCGAGCCGTGTTCTTCATAAGAACTCAATTCATCAACTACGTCGGACGGCTGAGTACTCACCCTCTGCAACGCTTATCTGCCATATTCTTCACATTTTGTGATATTGGTTGATTTCTGTCGTTGTGATTTGAGATTTACATAAACTATAATGACTGAGTAGTTTTTAGTTTCAAAGCAACAGCAACCCTGTTCGGATGGCTATGGCAGCATGCCCTCTCGGATCCTTTGAATCATATATGCTTTAGTTAGATATTCTTGTTGAAGATGGCATCAAGGCACTATTTCAACAAGTTTTTCATCTTCCCGAAAATTCAAAGAAAATAAGCAACAATTTTTTGACAAGCCTTTCTCTGAGAATCTTCGCTCCCGTTATTGAGAAGTTGGTTTTATAGGAAGGCACGGGTGGCAGTTGAATTATTGTACCATTCAGTCCGAAAATAAGTAAGAGGTACGAAGAGAACCGCCAGGAAAGAAAAAGTAAAAGGAACCATAAACACCAAAATTAACGACCTTTTTGTGAGCTTCACTTGGTGCGACGAATAGATGCAGAGCGGCGATGAGAGGGAGCACGTGAGAGAGCACACACTTTCTCGAGAAAATCCCACATAGTCTGTTCTTGAAGAAGATCTGATACATACATGCCTAGTTTGGCGTTTGACTATTTGGCAACGATATCATTTTGCCCTGTGGTAGGGAACTTGATGCTATTTCCTGAAAAACGGAGGCTTAATGCAACATTTCGAGATCAAATTCGCGGGTAAAAGCGGTCGATAATGAAATTGGGAATGGCGAGTTGAGTGCAAGTGAGACAAGGAACAAAGAAAGGACACAATAGAAAACCTCCGATGAATCTCTAAACAGAGTCTCCCTCTTCCTCCTCAAAGTAAGTACAGAGTGGGACCGGATGGGTTGTCCGAACGTTTGCGTTTTGCTCGTGCCAGCAAGAAATGTGGCTGCAATCGCGTATGCACCAATACTGGAAGCAGTATACAGGGTGGGCAAGAATTACGGTAACAAGAGCACTATCAAAACACCTCTATTCCCTTTGAACCGAATAAATGCATCAGGCTGAACAGACCGCGGAGAGAAATCATTGGACACACCAGCAAGATAGATCGCGTGTACAAAAAGCAAATACTGTGCAATAATTGTTTTACAGAACTTTCCAAATTCATGACATTAAACGGGTGCCAACCTTATTCTCCTGTTTCAAAGCAAGTGGGTTATATTCAGTGGAGTCTACTGAAGACGATGGACTGCTACAAGTATCACTAAAACAATCGATGAATTAAAGAAGATCCCAGGGAAAGCTCGATGTCACCTACCTACACAACAGGCCCGATGCGTTTCCGAAATGAATTCACGCAGATATAAACACAGAGAGCGGCCAGTCCAAAAAATGATGTTGTATTCTGTTTGATAAGTTCCTATGAATACATTGCTGGTGGCCACGTGTGTCTTCCAGGCCGCATTGCTTTTCCATGAACACTTTATTTTGTTACCGTAATTTTTGCCCACCCTGTACAATAATAATACGATAATTAGAAGATGTAAGCAGGCAAAACGAAACAAAAAGTAGGTGGCATCCTTTGAAACGCGGAACAGTTTGCACGCAATCGCGAAACTAATCACGCGATCTTTCTCGCTAGCAAGTGGGCGAACGATGTAAAAGGCGGTTCGATGGCGTCCAAGTCCTTCTAGCCTCTTTCCAGGAAGGGCCTCTTGTTCAGCAACACTTCTTATGCTCTTCTTTGGGCTCACGCATTTTTTTCACTCCATTAGTAGCAAAAGTATGGATCCCGCTAGGACTGTTGCTTAAAGGAAATCTTGCGCGGAAAAATCATGATTCTATTTCAGCCATAAATCACTGGCTTGAGACTCATTATCCACGATAATAGTGAAAAGAACTGAAGTATTGCTTTCGTTTTGATTAGAAATTCGAAAACTCGAAAAGGCTGCGCGTTCGAATTGCCCACGGACGTCTTTCACGAATGCTGGCGACGGGGATGCTCAAACTTGGTTCTTGGAGTGCATTCACTAGAAGCTCTTTCTGGCCTTCTGCTTCGTTGCATTCACATCTTACACTTCTACTCCATCCTATTCCATCGATCGATTTGTCTCCTCTCCGAAATCGCGCGCTTTAACCCGATTCTCTCATTGCGTCGCCTGGTACGTAGCCGGCCAAACGCCGTCTTCTTTCCATGCCTCGCCTGGCTCTGCCTCCTGGTCCTTCGATGGTCCATAACGTGTAGTTTTTGTACGTTTGTTTCTCTTCAGAAACCGAATCTTCATGCGTGAAACTTTGTGTGCTATTTCCAGTGATCACAACTGACATATTCATGTTAGGAAAGAGTGCAAGAATTTTCCGCGCAAGATTCCTTTAACACCGTTCAAGCAGAGCGTTTCCAATTTATATGTCGCCCTTTCTAAAGCAACAACCCCAGTTTAAACTGGCAGGCTGTCGATAATGGGAGTAGGTCATGTCTAGTTATAAATAAAAAAAGAAAAAAGTAAGCCATTGATAAAGCGGTTGTATAAGAACTCTTTTCTTCCTTGGAATGAGGGAAGAGCGTGATCGGACAAGTTGTCTGAACTCGCTTGCTTCATGGCTCCAATAACCCGTGCCTATTTAAATTAGCCGCTACGTCGTAATCTACACTGCGCCAGAGCGACAGTTATCAGGTATCTACGTGAGGTATCTCGTCTCATTAGCGTTATTAGCTCACTTTGTAAGGCCCCAGCCGTCGCGCCCAGCAAGCTACATAGAAGCTTATGGGATCGCATCGGCGGTGTCCGCGAGGAGCTACTTAGCGTGGGATTCCAGTAGATGCCAGTGCACACAACAACCACTTGAAGCGCTAAAACGCGCGGGCTTGAGAATCCTTGACGAGCCTCCATGTGACTGCAGCGGGGTAACTTGCTTCCTTCCCTAATCCCTAAGGGGACAAGCGTGCTGGCGCGGAGCCAGTATACCCTCGCCTTCAAATGACCAGAAATTGTGCAATTGCAGAAATTGACGTGGCATTAACGTGGCATCGATTCAAGAACATCTTTGAGCACACGTGATGTCACCTTTTCATCGAGAATTTAGCCACGTGTGCCAATGCCACGTCAATTTCTGCAATTGCACAATTTCTGGTCATTTGAAGGCGAGGGTATGTGCTAAGGATATAGATCGACCTATAAGCCAAGACGTGAACCTGGAGGAAACAGCTTTGTGATCGACATGACGTTAAAGGCAGGGCGAAATGTGAGCGGTGTACAACATGTGTTGTAGAATTACTGTCAGCAAAACTATACACATAGTTATTTGGACCTGTTTTAGTTTGTATTAGGTCTAGTCCCGTCTAGGGCAAAGGTTTTGTTCACAACCTCAGCATTCTTTATTTGAAATATGCAATTAGTACGTACCTTTATGTCGCCATAGAGTTAAGTACAGGAGAGGGACCGATAAAAAAGACATTTTTTTCTCCCATCATGGAGGCGATCACACTAATCAATTTAAACCGATGCTCCCATCTTAGAACTGAAGAACACATTGCATTTTATAAGGAGAAAATTCATGAGGGCTCTCTACGTGGATGGCATAAAAAAATCTGCCCTGGGAACACGGTGCACAACGTCGAGCTCAACAGGGTCAAAAGGATCGTGTACCTTTACGGCGTCATCTGAAAAGCGGGTTTCAAGAG